AATCTCTGTGGAATCCTCAAAATTCCCAAAAAAATCCCCAAAAATTCCAAAAAAAATCCCCAAAAATTCCAAAATAATTCCCAAAAAAATCCCAAAAAATCCCCCAAAAAATCCCCAAAAATTCCAGAATAATTCCCAAAAAAATTCCCAAAAAAATCCCAAATTCCACCCCAAAAATACGAAAAATCCCCCAAAAAATCCCCAAAAATTCCAAAATAATTCCCAAAAAAATCCAAAAAAAATCCAAAATAATTCCAAAATAATTCCCAAAAAAATCCCAAAAAATCCCCAAAAAAATCCCCCAAAATTCCAAAATAATTCCAAAAAAAATCCCAAAAAAGTCCAAAAAAATCCCTAAAAATCCCAAAAAAAATCCCGAAAAAATTCCAGAATAATTCCCAAAAAAATCCCCCAAAATTCCAAAAAAATCCCAAAAAATCCCCCAAAAAATCCCAAAAAATTCCAGAATAATTCCAAAAAAATTCCCAAAAAAATCCCAATTTCCACCCCAAAAATCCCAAAAAAATCCCAAAAAATCCCCAAAAAAATCCCAAAAAATTCCAGAATAATTCCAAAAAAATTCCCAAAAAAATCCCAATTTCCACCCCAAAAATCCAAAAAAAATCCCAAAAAATCCCCAAAAATTCCAAAATAATTCCCAAAAAAATCCCCAAAAAATAAAAAAAAAAATCACCCAAAAAATTCCCAAAAATTCCAAAATAATTCCCAAAAAATTCCCAAAAAAAACCAAAAAAATCCCAAAAAATCCCCCGAAAAATCCCCCAAAATTCCAGAATAATTCCCAAAAAATTCCCAAAAAAATCCCAAAAAATTCCAAAAAAATCCCAAAAAAACCCTGAAAAAATCCCACAAAATTCCAAAATAATTCCCAAAAAAATCCAAAAAAAATCCCAAAAAAAATTCCAAAAAAATCCCCAAAAATCCCAGGGATTTTTCCCGAATTTTTTGGAGTTTCCCAAAATCCCTCAAATCCCAAATTTTTCCCGATTTTTCCTGAGTTTTCCCGGTTTTTTTTCCCAGTTTTTACGCGGCTGAAATCGCCATCGGCCTCTTCTTCCTGCACAACCAAGGGATCATCTACAGGTGAGCCCCAGAATTCCCAAAAATCCCAGAATTCCCAAAATTCCCAACAATTCCCAACAATTCCCAACAATTCCAGGAAAATTCCTCTGAAAAATTCCCTAAAATCCCAAAAAAAATCCCCAAAAAATCCTTGAAAAATCAAAAAAAATCCCTTAAAAAATCTCTAAAAAATTCCAGAAAATTCCCAAAATATTCCTAAAAAATTCCCAGAATTCCCCCCAAAAATTCCCAGAGAATCCAAAGAAATCCCAAAAAAATCCCCCAAAAATTCCCAAAAAAGCCAAAAAAAATCCCAAAAAAATCCC